GATTTGGATTGTAAACTATGGTTAATGCAATCCATGGATTAATATGATGGTCCAGTTTGGATGACACATCAAGCCAAGTAAGCATGGAAACTTGGATATGGCATGCACAAGTTGCTTGCAGCTTCACCCTGTGCTTTGTTTATCATGTCATTCACATGAAGGTGCATTTTCTCCTCTGATTTTCTTTCTCCCACAACAAACAGAAATGATTCTAACCCCTGCATTCTTGCTCTGTGTTGGAAAAGAAAGTAACCAGAGAAGAAAACACACATTTGGACGACATGATAAGCAAACCATGGGAAAGCTTCATTTGTTTAACTGAGGGATGGGCATGCATGGAGAGTCCAAGGACCATTTTGGATCCTATCTACAGCACAAAAGAGGATCCATCTGAGCCATTTTTCTGAAACTAGAAGGGACATTTTGGTCACTTCCAGGTACCTGATTGACTGGTTGTTGTTTCAGGGTAGGATCCCCTGAAGCAGCAATTGTGTGCAAAACCACATACCCTAGAATTGTTTTTCAGCTGACATTTTCATATTTTATCTGAAAATTCTTTAAAGAGGTGGAGTTGAAGGGCTGATCTGCCACATAGGAGTCACCTGGGCTGCAATATTCTTGTTTATGCATGAGCTGCTTCTCCTGAAAGCAGGAGATCTGCAATAGTATCCTTTGGATCCTGGGTTGATCATGTCACCCAAACTGGCCTGATCTCCAAATTATATCTTCTCCCAGGCTTCAGAACTCCCTTTCCAGAAAAGTTAGACAGGCACATTCCCTGCTATCTTTCCATAGGCAGCTTACGACTTTATTTTAGTGCCCTTTGACTGTTGAAGGGGACTGGACCTTGCAGAATGGTGGAATACTGTCTATTCTGTTTTGTTCATTTATCATTTTTAGTAGTTTATGTTTAATTGGTTTTAATTTTATTTAATAGTTTAATCATGTTTTAAACTTTGGTGCTTGATATATTTTTCCAGCTATGTCTCTGTTGTCAGTCACCTTGAGTCCTAAACTAGGCAAAAGTCAAGATGATGGTGATGAGTATAAGCAGGGGTAGGCAACCTTTCCCCTTTAAGGGCCGAGGGACTTCAGCTCCCAGAAGCCTCAGCCATGTTGGCCAATAGTCCCATGTTGGCCAATAGCTCCTGGGATTCTGGGAGCTGAAGTCCCTCGGCCCTTAAAGGGGAAAGGTTGCCTACCCCTGATTATAAGCATCGGATCAGGTCTACCCAAAAAGTTTAGTTATTTAGATACCATTGAGTGTTGTGCAAGCATCACAGCTCAGGTTGAGTGCAGGCTTTTCATGCAGGAAATCCCAGGTTCTGTTCCAGGTATCTCCAACTAACAGGATCTGAGAAGACAGAGCTTGGAGGGGGGATTTCTTGCAAACTGAGACGCTGGGGAGTTGCTGGCAGCTAGAGGAAATGGCTAAAAGAAATAGACAGAGCAATGGTCTGAGTCAGGGTAAGGCGACTCCTCACATGGAATTAATTAGTTTCTTGACAAAGGCCCGTGTAACATTCAGAGAGTCCTTATTTCAATTCTGTGTGTGTGTGTGTTGTATGCATGTTTCTCTCTACATTTTGTGCACATTTTCTCTCTACATTTAGAATGACAAGGATAGTACCTCTGGCTGCAAATCTATCCCTGCCAGTCACATCTTTGGATTAGAAGACGCTGAACATTTAAAACCTCTTTTCATCTCTCTAATATTGCTGTGTGCCTTCAAGTCATTTCCAACTTATGGCAACCCTAAGGCAAGTCTGTCATGCGGTTTCCTTGCCAGAGTTTCTTCAGAGGGGGTTTGCCAATGCCTTCTCCTGAGGCTGAGAGTGTGTGACTTTCCCAAGACCACCCAGTGGATTTCCAGGGCCAAGAGGGGATTTGAGATGTGGTCTTTAGAGTAGTCAATGGTCCAAAACACACTGCAGAAATATTCCAGTTTGAGACTGCTTTAACTGCCGTAGCTGAATGGTTGGGAATTCTGGGAAATGTAGTTTTGTGCGACATTAGGCCTGGTGCCACAATAAACTACAATTCCCAGGATTCCCTAGCACTGAGCCAGGGCAGTTAAAGCAGTCTCAAACTGGATTATTTCTGCTGTGTGTCTCCAATATACTTAACCTTATAGTTAATAAGTACCAAATTCTTTCTTTTGTTTGCAAAATTCTTTTCTTTTGTTTGCGATTTCTTCTGTGTGTGATGTACTTTACACACAGTTCTTTATATGGTATGGTTTCAGAGTTTTGGTTTCAGAGACCGGTTTTCTCCCTTCTGCATTTTCATAAGAGGCCGGTTGGTTTGAGCAACCCCGTGGCCTTGTAGCCTCTTAGCGTCATGGCATATATGGGTGCCTTTTATCTAATCCGTTCTTGCCATATATATCTTTACTGGGATTGGGCTATTGTACCACTCTTCTGATGAGCAGATTAATTGAGTTAATAGTTAAAAGATGGCTAGATGCAGAGGAGGTAGATTCCTCTTTTATTATTTCTTGCGTGGAAGGGGACCAAATCCAAGAGGAATCAAACAACAATTAGTTCAGCTTGATTAAGTGAAATAAACTTTCTTTAGTCATTATCACATTTACATACAAAGGTAGCTCTGGCAAAAAAGCAGGCATACAATGTAACCAGGATGAATGGTATCAAGCAAACTGCTCAGTTTGGCAGATAATAATAACATTTGCTCTAGTTACTTTTTACCTTATCTGAAGTGTTACATTTCCCTCACTTGTAACAAAACAGTTACCATTCTGTTCCAGTCTGGAGAAGTGATCTAGTTTTGCAGTCTCTAAGAAAACAGCTCAATTTTATTTTCATTTGAAGTTTAGTCTTCAATTTTTTTCAAAGTCGGGAACCACTTTTAACCCCAGATTTTTACTAGTGGTGGTGTAGAGGTTTTGGTGTTGTACTGCGACTTAGGGGGGTTGCAGACTGCCAGAAATAATGCAAACTGAGTCTACTTTAAGGGTTAGGGTTAGTGCTAGGGAATCATGGGAATTTTTTTTCCTGAGACATTGGGCCTTCTCTGTCAGAGAGCTCTGGTGCCACAATAAAATATAATTCCCATGATTCCCTAACCCTAACCCTAACCCTTAAAGTGGACTCAACGTGCACTATTTCTGGCAGTCTGTAACCCCCCTTAGGAGACCAGGGTTTGATTCCCAACTCGTCCATGAAACCCACTGGGTGACCTTGGCCGAGTCATATGCTCTCAGCCTCAGGAGAAAACAAGGGCAAGCCTCCTCTGGACAAATCGTGTCAAGAAAACTCCATGATAGGTTGGCCTTAGGG